AAGCTGATTTTATCCATCTACTATCATCTATTATTACTTAATCTTAATCGAAGCTGATTTTATCTATTTATTATTATTCAATTTTACTATTTATTCTTTGTCATCTAAGTTCATCACGATTATTCACTTACGTTTGAATGTCATTTATATCTATTAGCCATAGGCTACACTTTATGTTGTTCACATAGTGATACAAACCATCTTTTTCGTTTACTTTTTATGACTGTTTCGAATACACATAATTTATACATTGATATCCACTGATCACTTAACCCAATCTGTGAATATTTACACATATTTTGTTGACTTTATCTCTAGCGCTGTGTTCCAAGTACTCTATCTATCTAAAGGCGGTTCACCTCCTTTATTTTCATAGCTGCTTTTTGATACAAGTACAATTTAGCCATATCCAGGAGCGCAGATTTATTTTTCCTATATAATATTTAAAGTTGCACAAATGTGCTTTGCTTAGAAAAAAAAGAAAAACAAATGCAGTCACCACATTGAAGGACTGGTCAGCTGCATTATATTACAGTTTTGTTTTTGGGTTTAGATATACAGTATTTTATTATAGTCCCCTTATTACAAGTACATGGGTTTGGATGTAAAGTAGCTCTTTATAGAGTGCATTGAACCACTGACATCAGTATCCACCCCTGGAGGAGTTCACAAACTAAACCACTGACTTAAGTGCCCACCCCCAAGGAGTTCACAATCTGCAAACACTAAGGGCTGAAGCCAATTAACTACACAGCATGCTTTTAAGTTACAGGGTAAAACTAAACAAAGTTAAACAAAACAAAAAATCCATTCCAGAGCTACAAGGCAAGCATGATAACCGTAACTCCATCAAAAAACCTTTTTAGCCTACTGGGGAAACGGGGAAGAATAAAACCTTTGTTTTGGATTTCTCTTTTCCTGCCCGGGGGACACACAGGACATTTTCCCCTTCCAAATTGCATTCTCTTTACATTATATTTTCATGTAGGAAACCAGTGATGCTGTCACTAGCTTCCCAGGGTATTCACCACCGAAATATATAGAAAATATACATTAGAGAGGGCAAACAGTAAGTTTATGTATCTCCCCAGGACAGAGTGTCGGGAGAGATGCAAGGCAAATATGTGGAACACTAAGCCATGCTTCCCACTATGCCTACAAAGCATGGCTCATAAGCTGCAAAAACTGTAGCACCAGAACATTGTCTACTTTATGACCTTCCTATTCAGGGCTTTCATACCACAAAGTGCCAGTTGGAAGGACTGGCTGCTACCAGCAACACCTGCAGTTTCCCTTTTTCCAGTTTTTATACAGTCATACAATAATGAAAAAGTGGTCTCTAAGAGAATGAATAGCAAAGTAGGAACATGGAGCTAGTGGCATGCTCACCTGACAATGTTGGGGTGAGACAATTTCTGCAGAAGAGATATCTCTCCGACGATCCCCTCTTCATCCACCTCGTTTTTGTAGATCTTCACCACCATGGTCTTGGAGCCCGCACCCTGAGATACCTGCAAGGTGACAAAACACAATCCTGATTCTGAGTGCCTCATAGTGCACCAAAGCAACCAATCAACTTTCATTTGGCATCATCACAGTGCACCTTGGGAAATTAAAGGAAATCTTTTGGACTTCTCCAATAAATCAAGAAGCAAGCAAGGACCAATGCGCTAAGCACAAAGGACAATACCAATGGCAACCAATAAGAATACATCTTGATCTGATCTATCCCCTGCCCTGGGAAGAGCACGGCCTCTGCATGCTCAGTGATTGAAGGGTGGTGGGGCAGCCCAGATTCCCAGGAGCTGGAGATTCTCTCCATCTAGAAAAACCTGTCCCCTTCAAAGCTTCTTCCAACATAGTAAGTAGCTGGTGAGCCAAGGGAGGTCCTTTAGGAAATGTAATGAGCTCCACTGGACAGAAAAGTTCTTCTCTAAAACGTTCAGCCTTCTCAGAGACCCATAGGCAAAGAAGTCATGAATCACTTTGTGTTGCTTGCTTTCCCTCCTCATGCCTGAAGCAAAGCACTCTGGCAGTGAGGTATCCAAAAGAAACACACCAGTAAGTACTTAAAGTGCACATGTAGCGACTGCAAAATGAATAATCTTTTACTTGACTGTTACAGATATCGCCAGCACACACTTAACCAATATACCCCTTTCCAGGTGCTGCAGTACGCTGTGGGTGGCAGCACTTTTGAGCCAAGTAGAAAATATGTCATCCGTCAGCACACCTATGAATCTTTATCCAGGGACGCCTTCACTGATGTTCGTTCAGCATATAAAAAGAGCAGCGTTACGAGAACCTCACAGGCTCCCTTCATCTTTTTATATGCTGAATGAAAGTCAGTAAAAGAGACATTGGATGAAGACTCGGTGTGTTGGTGTTACATAAAGAGAGAGAGTGTGCCGATTGCAAACTCTCTTTATGGATTCAAAGTTATGAGAACCTCTATCTTGGAGCATATAAAGCAAAGGATGCACTGGGTGCAGGTTCACCAGGAGGCAGCCCAATCCTCCTAAAAGCACAGGGACACACCAGAAGACCAGCACATTACAATGGCAGCTGAAGCTCCTAGTTAGTCCATACACCAAATCCAGCGAAGTGAAACAAATGGCAAATGTACTCATCAGTTGATAACTAGCTTTTAAATTTAGGTGCACATGGAAGAGCTTTACACAGTGCAAAAGCCAAAATGTCCCAGCACACTCAGCAGCAAGCCTGTAAAAAATATCACTGTATAACTATTAAAGTTTTTTTTTTAAAAACAGAGGTTTTAGTTGTACAACTTTTGCAAAATCAGTGGAAGCCACACACTGCCTCGTCAAGGACCCTCTGTGTAGTGTAAGCAAATTAGGCCAGACTCCAGAGCCGCCAATCCCTTTCAGTCTTCCACAGTGCAGAAACAATACAAGAACAGGCTGACACTGGGCAATAAAGCAACAGCTGAACAGGGACAGGCATGAGATCTTCCATAGGAGAGACCCCAGACTTGCTCCTCAGGTCCATATCAGAACCAGGCACCTCCAGTAGCCATCCCCCTTCTCTGGGTTTTCTTCCTCAATCAGTACCAGACCCCTCAGAGTCCACATGGGGCCTCCTCCAAGCCTGGTCTGCATTTCCATATTTGAGCATCCCATCCATGCTGAGCCCGGGGAAGGACTGGACGGAGCACACGGCAATTCCCCTGAGTATATATGCACTCCCCCAGATTGCACCACTGGTCATGAAACGCCTAGTGATTGGCTGGTGAGACAGACATTTACGATGTTCTCCCATTGGCACACCCCACTCAGGTACAGGTACAAGCAATAAACAGAACACCTGGAATTAACCAGAAAATAACCAACTATAAATCAGCTAGACGGATTACAGCACTAGCAATGTTAGATTTCTAGTAACCACTCCACAGAAGGTGGTGGGGGCTACACAGTAAATACAGAGCTCCTGAATGATCAGTGCAGAGCCCTGTGTGTGTATACAGGAGCCATACATGAGAGAGAGACAGAACACACACATTGTGCATTGTACAAACACACAGAGAATGGGAACTCTGTTCCCTGTCAGATAATGAGGCAGATGACGTGATCTAAACAGAGCAACAGGGATCATCTGAAAATGCATCAAGATCAATGAAGATGAACATTCACATTATAACAAGACAAACACAACAGATAAATGTATACAAGTGAGATTAAATGACATCGTTCTTGCACTTCATTCTATGATGCTGTGTTTACCTAGCGGGGATGTACAGTCTTCTCAGTTTTCTATCTAGTCAGGGCGGCTCTTGCACTACAGAATTGTGGGAAGATCTAAAGAAAATTGATTGCAATGTAATCGCAAGGTGCCCAGACAACTTGAGATGTTCAATTTATTGAAATCAATGTACAACCTGTGCGGCATTATTTAT